TGAGGCAGGCTGAGGCTGAGGCTGAGGCCGAGGCTGACGCTGAGGCAGGCGGACGCTGAGGCTGAGGCAGGCTGAGGCTGAGGCTGAGGCAGGCTGAGGCTGAGGCTGAGGCTGAGGCAGGCGGATGCTGAGGCAGGCTGAGGCTGAGGCTGAGGCAGGCTGAGGCTGAGGCAGTCTGAATCAGAGGCCGAGGCTGAGGCTGAGGCAGGCTGAGGCAGACGCTGAGGCAGGCTGATGCTGAGGCAGGCTGGGGCTGAGGCTGAGGTTGATGCAGGCTGAGGGCGAGGCCGAGGCTGAAGGCAGACTGAGGCTGAGGCTGAAACAGGCTGAGGCTGAGGCTGAGGCAGGCTGAGGCTGAGGCAGACTGAGGCCGAGGCCGAGGCTGAAGGCAGACTGAGGCTGAGGCTGAGGCAGGCTGAGGCTGAGGCTGAGGCAGGCTGAGGCTGAGGCTGATGCAGGCTGACGCTGAGGCAGGCGGACGCTGAGGCTGAGGCAGGCTGAGGCTGAGGCTGAGGGCAAGCTGAGGCTGAGGCTGAGGCAGGCGGAGCTGAGGCTGAGGCAGGCTGAGGCTGAGGCTGAGGCAGGCTGAGGCTGAGGCAGTCTGAGTCAGAGGCCGAGGCTGAGGCAGGCAGGCTGAGGCAGACGCTGAGAGGCAGGCTGATGCTGAGGCAGGCTGGGGCTGAGGCTGAGGCTGATGCAGGCTGAGGGCGAGGCCGAGGCTGAAGGCAGACTGAGGCTGAGGCTGAAACAGGCTGAGGCTGAGGCTGAGGCAGGCTGACGCTGAGGCTGAGGCAGGCTGAGGCTGAGGCAGGCTGAGGCTGAGGCTGAAGCTGAGGCTGAGGCTGAGGCTGAGGCTGAGGCAGGCTGAGGCTGAGGCAGGCTGAGGCTGAGGCCGAGGCTGAAGGCAGACTGAGGCTGAGGCTGAAGAAGGCCGAGGCTGAGGCTGAGGCAGGCTGGGGCTGAGGCTGAGGCAGGCTGAGGCTGAGGCAGGCTGAGGCTGAGGCTGTGACTGCGACTGCCGTTGCCACTTCGACTGGCATCGCGCATGTGACTGCGACTGCGAGAACAGCAGAATTATGCAATTGGATTCTCATATGAATCTTAAGGGGAATGCTTCCAGATATGCTTCTACACATCGCTGTTAGGTTGCTTCGCTGGGATACTTTCCGTCCTCCCACGCGCCCTACTCCTCGATGCTTTGTTCGCCCAGCTCTTTGTGTATCCGTTTTTTTTGTTTGTCCCCCCCTCGCCGTGGAGGTCTTGGCCCCTGGACGTCGCGGGCTGAGCGAGGAGGCGAGGGTCGGCAGCCGGCAGCATAGCCTAGCCCCGCGCCGCGGCCACGCGCGACGACGCGAGAAAAGTGCAGCAAGAGGAGGTATGAGGAGTGCACTGGGCATGGGGCGCGGAGCGTGCGGCAGCATCGCGATGAAGTCCGTGCACACTTTGAGCGGGCATGAAATCGGCACTGGCGGGGGTGGTGGCGCTGGCGGCTGACCCTGCTCCTCGACGTCGAGTTGCAACAGTTGCAACCCCCCGTCGTTCGCGCTCGTCGCGAGCGGGCCCTCGTCGGCCCCATCCTCGGCATCAAGATGGATCCCCTCTTCCGCCAGCCAGGGGGGGGCCTCGAAACCGTCGTCGCATTCCATGGTGGCGTCGGGCTGAATCCCCCCCATCGGCATCGCAATCACGTTGAGGGTCCAAGTCCGAGACGCAATCGCACTCGATGTCGAGAGAAATCGGAACCGGTGACATCCAATCTGGCATCAAATCGCAGTTTGAATTTAGCTTAAATTCAGAAATACCTAGCTCAGTTCCCATGTCGCTGCAATAACCCATGAAAGAAGCTCGAAACATATCCAGTTCCCGATCCATGCTGTCTAAAGGCCTCCCAATGGCCCACGTCATGAGCAAGGCGCTGCACTTGTGAGCGACACTGCTGGCCCCAGACCCCAACCCTCTGGGCAAGGAGTGACGCCGGGCGATGCTTGTGCGCAAACGCTGATGAGCGTCAAGGATCGCCGCCTCGTCATGGACGGCCCTCTCAGCGTCTCCCTCATGAATGACAGAGTTCGCGTAATGGGTCAACGTATTGACAGCGCGAGCAAGAGGCACCACATCGTCAATGAGTATTTCATCGTACATACTCAATAAGAAATCAAATCCCTTCTGCGGTGATGAGTCAGCAAGACCGAAGCGGATGCAACGTGCTTCTTCCCTCCGCTCGAGCAACGTATATGCGCTATCGAGAAGCACTCTTGCTCTCGAGATCCGCAGACCCTGTCGGCGCGTGTCAGGGGCTTGTCAGTTTAAGTCGCGATGTATGCCCCCCTTTCCTCGGGCTCGTCGAGGCCCCCACTTCCCCAAGAAGAGCCAAGACTGCTCTAATGGGCCCAAAGACAATCCAAGAGAACACCGAATCGCAGAACGATATGTCCAAGACGCCTCGACGGCTTCCAGACGGCCCACGAGGCCTGCAACGCACTTCAAGAAGCGCCCAGGACATCCAGGCGCATCAGACGCTTCGAGAAATTCGCCACACCAGAAATCCGCCGACCCCGTCGACGTGGAGGGGCATGTCGGATCAAGTCGGCATCTCCGCCATTCGTTGGTCGCCGTCTCAAGGCGGCCCAGGAAGCAATCAAAACCGCCCGAGAGAGACCCGAGAGGATGGCCCATGACGGTCCATGACGGCCTCAAGAGAGCCCCATGCTGTCCCAAGAAAGCCTCTGGTATCCTCCTCCTCCTCCTCCTGCTCCCTGGCCCTGCTCCCCCTCCCCCTGTTCTACTCAGCCTCCTTCTCCTCCTCTTGCTTCTCCTCCACTTCCTCCACTTCCACCCTTCATCCTTTTCACGGGGCCCCGAACGACTCACTCACCTCCGACCGAGTTCACTGAGGGGCCCCAGCGACTCACCGAATCACCCCCGACCGAGCACAGAGGGGCCCAAACGACTCATCCCCGACCGAAAACTGATGGGCCCGAACGACTCGCCCCCGACCGAGAAGTGAGGGGCCCGAGCGACACGCCCTTCCTCCACCTCCCACTCGCCCCCCCCCCCTCTGCCGCAGCCCCCCCCCTTCGTTTTCATATTCGTCGGCCTCGTGTTCTCGCGCAGGCCTCACGTTTTCCGACCTGTTTATGTAAATTGCCTTGATGCGTTCTACGTTTGGTGCTTCACAATCGCGCTGCGCTCCATATTGCACGGCTTATGTTTTCTGTCTGCCCAGGGTCGGCGGCACCGGCCGCAAGGCCTATGGAATACTACTCCCAGACGGGACCATGCTTGCATTGAAAACGTCCGATGTTTTTAAGTGCTCGGCCAGAGTTGGAAACGCGACTCCGACGGCATGCTGGATCACGGACCGGAGGCGCTTAGAATCGGACACCACTCGGCTCAAGAATAATACATTCACCATTTTGGCAGCACTGTGCAAAGAGACGCCACGGCGTGATTCCGACATGACCATGCCCTGTGGTTCTAGAGAATAGATAAGCCCACGCATCCACTCGACCATCGCCTCAAGACTGCACCTCGAGAGTCGATTCGTTCAGTGGGAAAGGAGGGGGCTCTGCCAGTGCCCCTGGGTTCCTGGGCGCGGAGGAGGAACCGGGGAGGAGAAGGGAAGGGGGGGGAAGAGGAGGAGGAGGAGGAGGAGGAGGAGGAAAAGGAGGAGGAGGAGAACGGCGAACGGGGCGCTTGGGAGGTCGATCTTGGATTTCGGAAGTGTTTTTTTGTAAAACACCTCCGAACTCCGTGGCGGGGGGGGCCCGGGGGGCGGAGGAACTGCAGCACCGGCGGCAGCAAGAGAGAGGAGGCAGAGGCCTTGTGAGAGGCGACGCCGGCGAACCTGCCCTCCTGCGAAATTTCACGCCGACCGACCGTGGGGAGGAGAAGGAGAGAGAGAAGAGGAGGAGGAAATACTCCAGGAGGGGAGGAGGGCGAGAAGGAAGAGTCCATGAGGAGGAGGGGGATGAGGAGGAGGAGGAGAGGAGGAGGAGAGAGGAGGAGGGAGGAGGAGGACGAAGAGAGGAATTTAAACGAGCTCGGATTTGTACCGAAGCGATGTTATACATGCAGGCTTGGATTTGTGTCGATGCAGTTTTGGGATCTCAAGAGGCCTTGGATGTCTCCTGCCCCCTTTGGATTGTCGCCTCCCGAGGCGGAGGAGGGAGGGGGCACTGGATTCCCCGAGCCCAGTCTCGTCGCCACTGGGTTCCCACGCGACGACTCGGGGAGGAGGAGGAGGAGGAGGAGGAGGAGGAGGAGGAGGAGAGGAGGAGGAGGAGGGGGAGAGGAGGAGGAGGAGGAGGTGGAGGAGAAGGAGGAGGAGAAGGAGGAGGCGGAGGGGGAGAGGGGAGAGGGAGGAAGAGGAGGACGAGGAGAATGAGGCTCAGGAGGAAGAGGAGGAGGAGAAGGAGGAAGGTGAAGGTGGGGGGGGGGGATTCCAAGAGAAGCATTCGAGCCGCGCCCCGCGTGGCAACGAGGACCGTCGATTACATCTTACATCCCCCAGCGCCTGTACGAGTCCCGACTGTCCTCGCCCGCTGCGTCCAGAATTGTTGGAGCCATCTGACCCAACTGATCAACATAGCCTTTTACAGCTTCCGGGCTCACGTCGCTGAAGCTCATTGCCGAATGCGTCCACCCCACGCGCACACGCGCCCTCGACTCCATCGGAAGGCGTGCCAGGAGAGCCGGCCAGCGACCCAAACAACCCAGCACGCTCCAGGCTCGCAACGACACGAGCAAGGCGATGGGTTCCACAATCGGCAGCATGACAAGATCTTTCCAATCGCCTACAATGGCTGCGACACACCCGAGGCTCAGTCGCTCAGTCCGGGGAGCGGGCGGTGAATGAAGGGAGAAAGGGTCACGAACGAGTGGGGGAACGAGTAACGGGGGGGGAAGTTTGGGTTTGGAGAAGGAAAGGGCGAGGAATACGAGAGTGGGTGCGAGGTGAAGGATTAAGAGAGGGGCATAGTGCCGGGCATAGGTTTTCCTTAGCGTCCTCCTTCCCCCTGGAACTGCCCCTTGCTCTCCGCGGCCGCCAAAAGGGCCGCCGAACCGCCGACAAGGGCCTCTTTCAGAGCGCCTGGAAGCCCCCAGGCCCCAACGGAACAACGGAACCTCGGTCGTTCCCCCGGCGGGAAGGGGCCTGAGGCAGGGGGGCCAGGACTTCCTCTAGAAATTCGTAGTATCGACGACGATCATCCAAACCCCGGGGCTTTGGGTTGTCGCAAAGAAGCATTGGGCGCGGCACGGCACCACTCATCAACTTCCAACCTCCCAAGGGGATACTAAGGGGTGACGCTGGATTCCAATGAGCCCGATTTGATCCCAATTCGCCGTCGAGGTCCGCGCACAACTGACGAACGGAACCGCCTCCCTGGAGCAGCCAGTCCCCCGCGCTATCACCAAGGCCGGCCACGCTGCGCAAATTAACTGGCTCCGCCCGGATGTCTCGAAATAACCTCCAGAAGCAAGGGATATGGCAAAATGTCCGAGGCGGCGCGGCGACTGCGATGAGACGCGCCAGTCGTGGAATGACGACGGCGACGCCGTCCCCGTCGCTCCGCGACTGGCAAGTCTCATCGCCGCCCGCTGTCCCGCTTCTGCTGTATGTGAGTTTTCTCAACACGAATGACCTTGGCACTTGCAACATGTGAACGCGCACGATGCGCAGGGTGTACAGATCATCTGCATAATGATAATAAGAATGGAACAACGCCTCCTCGGGCGACAGACGTGTCAAAGGGCCAAACCAGCTCGTTTCGAACGACAGCTCCAAAATGCCGAGCACCTCGATGAACTGGCGAGGGTGCCCATGTGTACTCGGCTGTGCAATGCCATGCAGGGCCAGCCGTTCTGCGAACCATCCCACAGGCGGAAGCGACAAACGGGCTTTGTATTTAGACGTGCCGCTAATGTAAACGTTCAAGCGGCGGCTATTATGAGGGTAAGCTGCAAACCAGACCAACATCTTGAGCTCGCAAACAGCACTGCTACAGAATATGAACCACATGACAATGATAATTGCTGACGCTCTTGATCATGATATCGCGCCTGGGCACGCTTGGCAACGGCGCAGCAACAGTTCTGCCATGTCGAGGACGTCTCAAGCGAAACTACGAACGCTACGCGCGGCAGGGGGAAACTTTTAAGGCCCCCTGGAAGAACCTGGACACATTCGCGTTATGCTGTCAAATATGGCATAGGAAAACTAAACCTCGTCCGAAACCACCCCATGTTAAGCAAGTGTGATGTGGGCGAAGGAAAGGAAGGTTTCTGAAGTCACTATCGGCCGAAACACTCCCCATAGGCGGACCCCCGTGTAACTTAGTAAAGAGGCCCCAAGAGAGCTCCAAGAGGCCCCCAAGAAGCCCCCAGGAGGTCCATGAGGACTCCGTCCGACCCAAAACCCAAGCACGGTGGCGGGATGGGGCGACGGCTATTTGATAGCTGGTATACGCGCCGCGTCACGACTTTCGATGCTGCGCACCTCCTCGAAAAACTCCCAGGGAGCGGCCGGTGATGCGCCGCCGGCGTCCTCGATAAGATGACTGAAACATAATACTGGAACGTACTGAAGCACGGCACGCATCACCAAGATTACGATATGCCAAGGCCTCTACGCGATGCTCTGCCAGTCACTAAATCAAACGTCGTCCAGTGGCGGGCGCCGTGTCGCGCCAGCGCTCGACAGGATGAAGGACGTGCTGCCTAGACCCTGTGCGATAAAGCTGCGCCCACCCGCCTCGACTCGAGGGTAGGACGGTTCCTCTGGCAGTTCAGAGAGCCCTGGCCCGATGCACCCGTCCAGGGCTGAGTAAGGCACGCCCAATCATGTGAAACACCACGTGCGCCCTCTCGACTGTGCGCCGACAGGCCGGTCAGAGTGAGCTGAGATCAAGGCGAACCATATGTACATCCTATGACCGTCGTGAACAATGCCTCATCATCCCGCTGCCGGCAATCAGAGGCGCGCGGAGCTCGCGCTGCCCCAAAAGCCAGCGTACAGGCACCACCTCAGCAGGTCAGCCCATCTGTTGGATTGAAACTCAGCAGCGAGATTCTCAGTCATGCTGGGTAGACTCCTGTGTCTCCCTCCCTGACAAGGTCGCGAGACCGAACGCCGAGCGCCCTGTCACGGATCCGGCAGGAGCAACTCATAGCGGCACCCGAATGGAGCCAAGCTCCTCCCATGATCCCTCCCTTCCCTGCCTCCCCTACCCTCCCCCGCAGCGCCCCGTCCCCTCCCTTCCCGACAACCACACTTGTCGAAAACAAGAAGATAGCCCGTCGGCTATGCACGCTCTCGGGCGATCCCGAACGGCACCCAGCTGAAAACCAACCTGACGAAATCATACTGGAACGTGGAGCAGCACGGCACGCATCACCAAGATTACGATGTGCCAAGGCCTCTACGCGATGCTTTGCCGGTCACAAACATTAAACGTCGTTCAGTGGCGGGCGCCGTGGCGCGCCAGCGCTCGATAGGATGAAGGACATGCTGCCTGGACCCTGTGCGATAAAGCTGCGCCCACCCATCTGGACTCGAAGGTAGGGCGGTCTCTCTGGCATGCTCAGAGAGCCCTGGCCAAATGCACCCATCCAGGGCCGAGTAAGGCACGCCCCGTGCATTCCCGCATGAAGGGGGCTGCATAACGACAAATCCTTCTCGTACACGGATTGCCGCGTGGAGGAGGGTGCAGAGAGACAAAACTCTCCTCGTACGCAAATTGTCGCGTGGAGGACTGCGCCTCTCGTGCGCGAATTGTCGTGAGGGCCGCAGAATGGCAAATCCCTCTCGTACACGGATTGCCGCGTGGCGGAGGGATGCAGAAACACAAAATCCTCCTCGTACGCCTTTGTGTCGCGTGGAGGACTGCGCAGTGAAACAACGCCTCTCGCACGCTGAATGCCGCGTGAAGGAGGGCTGCAGAAATACGATATCCCTCTTGTACACGGATTGCCGCGTGGAGGAGTGGCGCAAAGAGACATAATCCCCCCCGTGCACCTTTTTGTCGCGTGGAGGAGAACTGCGCTGTTAAAGAAGCCCTTTTTTTTCTCTCTCTCTCTCTCTCTCTTTTCCTGCTAATGTTTTGTGCGCGGTTCGATCCGCGGCCGCAACACGCAACAATACTCGTTGGCGCGCCAACTTTTCGGACGCCCGAACGGGGCCGCCCGAAACCGAACCGTCCCGAGGAAAACCGAACCGGCTCAAACCGGACTGGTGCCGAAACCGAACCGCTGCAACCGAACCAGCCCGCCGCCGAACCGGGCCCTTGCTGAGTATGGGTGGCAAGAACTTGCCAATCCTGGAGCACCCGCGCCCAATGCAAGTGAAACAAATGTTGCGCTGACGAGCTCCGTATCGCATCGAATCCTACCCCTGGGCCTGTCTAAGCAGTGTACTGATGCTTAGCACTTTGGCGCTCTAAGTGGGCGCAGCCCCTCATGGAGGAGCACGAGGAGAAGAAGATGAGACGAGGGGGAGATAAGGGAAAACGCGGGGAGAGGTATAATAATTAGTAATTGCAGCAGTTGGCGCCTGGATCAAATAGTTTGCGCACTGGGTGCAAAACTTGCGCGTGGGTGAAAGTGCGTATGATTTTCGCACTTGCAATAAAATGTTGCCCGCTCGCAACTCTCGCGTGCTATTGCATGGAGCGGGCTGAGGCTGAGCTCGGGTGGGCGACCTCCGGCTCTGCTCCCCTCCCTCCATCCCTCCCGCCCTGCACCCCTCCCGCCACTCCCTGGTGCCCCCTTGGGCAGGCGCCCTTGGCTCAGACAAGCCCCAGGCCGCCCGCAGGCCGCCCCAGGCCGCCCCAGGCCGCCCGCAGCGCCGCCTCTCCGTCCCTGCCGATGCTGTTGCCGTACAGGTGCAGCTCCTGCAGGCCGGACAGGGAGGGCAGCGCCCCCGCCAGGGCCCGCGCGCCCTCGGCGCCGATGCTGTTGTAGACCAGGTACAGCCCCTGCAGGCCGGGCAGGGAGGGCAGCGCCCCCGCCAGGGCCCGCGCGCCCTCGTCGCCGATGCTGTTGCCGGCCAGGTCCAGCCTCAGCCCCTGCAGGCCGGGCAGGGAGGGCAGCGCCCCCGCCAGGGCCCGCGCGCCCTCGGCGCCGATGCTGTTGCGGGACAGGTACAGCCCCTGCAGGCCGGGCAGGGAGGGCAGCGCCCCCGCCAGGGCCCGCGCGCCCTCGTCGCCGATCTGGCATCCTGTCAGGTCCAGCTCCTGCAGGCGGACACACAGCCGCAAGCAGCTTGCGAGCCCCGCGGCCTGCTCGGGGGTCGGGGGTGGCAGCCCGTCGAAGTCCAGCGTCGTCACGCCGCCCAACTGCGCGCGGCTCATCCGGCGGAAGAGCGCCTTCACCGCCTCCCGGTCCGCGCCGTTGGTGAAGGACCTGTCTTCGATGAGCCGGTCGAACTCGTCCGGGCCCACCGGCCACCTCCTCCCGGCCGCCTCCGCCCGCGCCCCCTGCCCAAGGTCGGCCACGGCGGTCCACTCTGCCTCATAGCGGTAGACCTCCTTGATCTGCTCCGCGGAGCAGCGCTCGTACGTCGTCCAGCCGGACTGGTCGTAGCCGCACTCGCGCGCGCTGCCCCGCTCGCGGGGGTGCTGGGTGAGCAGGAGAACGGTGGTGGCCTGGTGGGCGTACCAGAGGTCCATTGTCTTCTCCAGCCCGTGCTTGAAGGCGGCTTTCTCGGCGGGGGTCCGCTTGGCCTTGTCCGCGGCCTCCTGCGCGTCCTTCTCGGTCTTGCCCTGCCGCAGGGCGGCGGCCTTCGCCTCCTCGGCCTTGATCGGGTCGCCTTGCAGCAGGGAGGGCCAGTCCCAGAATATTCCCATCTCGCTGAACCCCTTGAAGTCACCCTTGGCTGTGGAGTACTTGCGGCGCTTTGTCTCCAGGGTGTCAATCACCAAACTCAGCTGCACCCCATTGGGGTCGGGATGCTCGCGCGAGTCCCAGCAGAACGAGATGGTGATGATCGGCGCCACCTGGTCTTTCCCTCCTCGCCCGCCGGCCTCCCAGACGGCCCGCAACTCGTCCGCGGACACGAAGGCCTCCTCCGGCAGCTCCTGGCGCCTATTCAGGACCGCGCCGCGCTGCTGCAGCAGCCACGCCATGCGGACCAAGCGCACGGGGTGCAGGTCATCCACGGTGAACGCGAGAGCGTCGAAGAGGCTGGCGGGGTCCGTGTACCGCGCCGGGTCGAACGACTTGTGCGGGGACGGCCCGCCGGCCTGCTGCCTGGCGGGAGGCCATGCAGCAGCCCATCGTGTCGGCGCGGGGGGCTGGTTTACAGAGGCAAGAGGGGCGCTCGCGCCTGCTTCAAGACCTGCGTCCAGTCGTGGAAGCTTGAGCCAAAATAAATGGCTACGGACGGGTGCTAGCATGCGTCTTGGTAAGAGACCTCGTGGGAGTCCTCGTGGGAGCCTGGAACTCTCTCTCTCTCTCTCTTCTCTCTCTCTCTCTCTCTCTCTCTCTCTCCCTGTCTCCAGGGTGTCAATCACCAAACTCAGCTGCACTCCATTGGGGTCGGGATGCTCGCGTGCGCCCCAGCAGAACGAGATGGTGACGATCGGCGCCACCTGGTCGCGTCCTCCTCGCCCGCCGGCCTCCCAGACGGCCCGCAACTCGTCCGCGGACACGAACGCCTCCTCCGGCAGCTCCTGGCGCCTATTCAGGACCGTGCCGCGCTGCTGCAGCAGCCACGACATGCGGACCAAGCGCACGGGGTGGAGGCCCTCTACGGTGAACGCGAGCGCGTCGAAGAGGCTCGCGGCGTCCGTATACCGCTCCAGGTCGAACGACTCCTGCTCCTTCTTCTTGGGGACCTCCTGCTGGTGCTGCTGGTCGACGGGCGCCGCCAGAGATTCGGGCAAGGCGTCGCTCTCCTGCGGGTCCTCGGGCACGGGCACCCCCGCGACGTCTGGCATGCGCGGGGGCGGCCCGCCGGCCTGCTGGTACTCGGGCGCGAGGGCCTGGCGGGACGCCATGCAGCAGCCCATCGTGTCGGCGCGGGGGGCTGGTTTACAGAGGCAAGAGGGGCGCTCGCGCCTGCTTCAAGACCTGCGTCCAGTCGTGGAAGTTCAGGCCAAAATCCGCCGACCCCAGAGGCGTGTGCGGCCGAACTTCTAGCTTCAGCCTTCACTTTGCGAACAGTGAGGACAAAAGCCTCGAAATTGTACCCCTCCTCCTCCTCCTC